GGGGGGGGGCGTGATGGTGAGATTTCCAGTTTGCGGTTCATCAGGTAACTCATAGAATGGTAACATAAGATATATATGCATTACATAGACATTGCCACATACTTCTAACTTCTGAAAATTAAGCCATGACTAAAATATAAATTGGAATAACAATCTAGTAATATTTTTTGTGGAGTTGGGACTTTGATTTATTTCATTTGTTTACCCCCATGCCAGGTGAATGTGATCAAGGCACTTAAATTCTTCATTAATTTAAGGCTTATTGAATAGCTGTATGAGACAGTATGGCCTTTTCAAGAAACTAGCACCTTTAATAAATGAAACAGCTAAGTGAATGCTTTGACCTTCTGAAAAAGCTGCAATATAATGGAACTATAGATGCTGGATGGTATATATGCATATACTAGAACTCTAGTAGTCAGAGCTCTTTTGTATTGAAAGCATGACAAACTAGCAAAAAATAATACTACTGGGTAGAATGTCAAATAGCAGCTTATGAAAGCTCATCAGTCGGCTTGAAGAAACCATCCTTGAAGTTGTAACTTAATTGTTATAAATTTCTTTTTTAATACCATGTATATGTAAGTTACACTGATGAGACTTTTCTGACTTTTGTCGGAATTCCGACTTTTTCAGGGTGATTTGGGTCATTCTTGTGAATCGTGTAAATCCTACTTTTTCAGTGAGGACTGGTCTCATCCCTAAAGTTACCAAAATGACCAAAATGGATGTTTTGCCCTAGAAGAGTGAAATGCCTGATGTACCAGCCTAGCTAAATATAGTTATAATAGTTCCTGCATGTTACTTGTGCATATATATATATATATATATATATATATATATATATATATATATATATATATATATATGCAAGGAATGTATGCATACTGTATTACTTTCTCTCGTTAATTCAGTGTTAAGGTTGAATATGGGACAAATGCAATCTTTCGTGGGTTGAAGGTTCTACTGTACTATCAGTTAGTTTTGATATTGATCTAAATCTTTCTCCTAGAAAACATATAAAATATCATATTTCTTTACGTAACTATTACTTAATGAAATAATGATTTGAAATTAATAGTTGTTGAAATAAACTTTATTGATCTGCAAGTTGGTGTATCTTGGTCAGTTGGGAAGATGGCCTTTTTTCTGGCACGCCCCCTCCCACCCTGCTCCATACACATTATTAATTTTCTGGCACGCCCCCTCCCACCCTGCCCCATACACATTATTAATTTTCTCTTCTTACTTTATTTTCTTTTTATTGGAGGGAGGGTTGATGGAATGCATCTGAATGGTTCTTAAATTTGTAAAGAATTCAAAGAAAATTATATATTTTATTGTTATTATTATTATTATTATTTTCATTATCATTTACTACAGTGTAATTTTTATTTTTTGCCACAAAACTGCACATTTTAAAATGTTAACTGTAGGCATTAGAACTTTGCCATAAGACTACTCTGCACAGGTAAGATAACTGCTGTTATATATATATATATATATATATATCAGGGGTCGAAATGTTGCTTTCCCGCTTTCCCGTGGGAAAGCTATTGCGAGCTCGGGAAATCTATGTCAAATCTTACTTTCCCGTCCGGTAAATCAATGGAAATGCCCGGGAAATGCAAAAACCTCTCGGGAAACCGCACTTAGAAGTCGCTTTCCCGAAGAACTGTTCCCTATAATGAAATTTATTTCCTGGCACCAAGCCGTCAATTATTTAACCTTTATTCACAACGCAAGTAAGCTCGACGTAAGTACTCACTCTGAAACTAAGGACGCACGCACGTGACAAGCTAGAATTTGTTACGGGGCCTCCTTTTGAATTTCAAGAGAGTTGTCAATCAAAATCGTCTCGAGGCATCTACAGTGGTATATCTGACTCGTTCCCTATCCCTTTTACACAATGTTTAACATAGAAAGGATCAAGGCTGCGCAGCTATCAGGTATAACATAGAGAAGTACAAACCTATACGCAACTCACGGAAACAAATTAATGTGCGGGAACAAAGTTAACACAGCGTCCAAGCCTACACAAATAACAGGCACCGGACAGCGTAGTACGGAGAACGAATATCAGTCAGCCATTTTCTGCACGATCAGCTGATGCAAGATTCAGGTTGCGCGCATAAGTCGGGCTCAAGTCTAACGGAGGTTGAAGGTCAGAAAATGAAGTTCCTCAAGTGGAAAATCAATGACGAAAGCAAGGGAAAACCAAGCAAACTCGCTAAACAAGACACATGTAAACTTCAAGACACGATAAGAAATGAGGGTGAAGCAGGTGCACATGGCGACGATACAGGTACAAGTATGTCGTAAATAATAATGTCTAACAAGTTTCATATCTAATGAACTGTAAATTTAATGATAAACAAGACGTCTTTACTTTTCTGTTACGTAGTATACATAAAAATTGCCCTACCTCGTTCTCTTTGCTGATGACATGATGTATTGAAAAACAAATGGACCTTTTCACCGACTGAGTTTTTCTTACCCTCGAATTTTCGGCTCTTCTCAAGAGCTCCACCTGGACTTATTTAATTTATTTGAGAAGTGATTGATTTGTTTTTCATTGAACTCCTACCAAACTGAAGACCTTTTTTAAGATGTCATGGGTTATTCTAGCCTTTATAATTAAGGACCTTAGAGTACCTTTATTCCCTTTAATTTTGAAAATGGAGTGTTTGTAACATCAAAATTTCACTGCACTTCTTCAACTTACCCTTTTCTAATTGGTGTGAAATTGCCAACTATTAAGAAAATGCCCCAAGTTTCAAATGAAATTACTCATTGTGCACACTAGGAGCAAGTCCAATTGTTTATTGGTTTGACCATGATTACGATAATTGACATGTCCAGAGTCTGCCTTTAGTTCATGGTAAAGTATTCACATTACCATTCTAGTGTACAATGTCCAGTTATTTCTCTGTAACTGTATATAATTGCAATAAAATCTTAATCAATCAATTACCATTAATACTTACTTTTTAGCTGCCAAAGATGGACCCATGGAGAATATAGACAGCGACGAGTATGGAGATGAGACAATTGAAAGGCTTTCAGAACATTTTAGGACACTGGATAATGCTGGATTTAAAACAAGCATGTGCCAGGCTGAATGGCCTCATTAAAAAAAATCCATGCTGGAACTCCATGAAAAGGGCCAGGACATAGTTGCCTTTTTAAGTAGAATGCTGACTGTGCTTAAAGACATTTACCCTAATATTTGTGCTCTCTTGGCCATTGTGATGGTCCTTTCAGTCAGCACTACAGATGCAGCATATGTATTTGATACTAAGATTTCAGTCACATTAATGTTAACAAATATACCTAGATGTTATAAAAAACACTATATATGGATGCCATGTTAGTTTATTTCATATCAATAAACATTCATTTCTCAAATATATGTTCTTACCTTTATAATTCATCATCATATTAAAATAATCTAATTTAATATCAGGGAAATCGGTTTTCATGATTTTGTTGTCAGGGAAAGCTACTTTCTTGCAGGGAAAGTAATGTACAAAATCACTTTCCCGGCAGGGAAAGTATGATTTTCTAAACATTTCGACCCCTGTATATATATATATATAAACAAGACTTGAACTTCCAGAGTACTTCTAGGGTGATATAGTAAATGGTAAATTTAGAGGTAGGCGCCATGCTGTGTACACATCTGCCATATGATACGAGTGAAATAATTAGCCTCTTCCTTTCTTCAGGTATGTTGAATATGCAGTATGTACATTGTAGTATGTTAATTCACTTTTAAAGATGCAGAAGGAAAGTTTAAAGAAGAAAAGAAATTGAAAGAAAATCACCTTAATGGCTCTGGGTGAAAGTATGATCAAGCAAAGGAAAATGGAGCTAATATTATAAACCTAAATAATATGATACATAACATTTCTTGATAACAAGAATTCAGAATTGATTCCATATCCGTCATGGTTCTACTGACAGCAGATATTGCTTTCATTTTTCACAACCGCAGGCTATCCGAGGCAGTTGGATTCCGTTTTTATCTCAGAAAAACCCCTGATATTAAGAAAAGGCATACACATTCTTAATAAAAATAGGCTGTAAAAGTCAAGTGTAGTTGACATTGCATCCAAAGTAAACAATTTTCTGAGAATTTTATCTTGGTGCTGTAGAAGTGTACTTGTCTGAGATTCCAAGCAAACTGATATTTTCATTTAAAGGTTATCCTGACTGTCTCTACAGTTCAGCTCATGACAGTTATCCTGAGTAGGCTGCACATTTCATCTCTTTTGAAGTAGCATGCAATTGTGGTTTGAGAAAATCAGTTAGCACGGGGCACATTTTCTGGGTCTTTCATCACATCTTGTATGTTTATGCAACCAAATAAAAAAGAAAAAAGGATTAATTCCAGGAAAATTGTGGAGCAGTTTTTCAGTGCTAGATCAGTAAATCAATACATGCAACTCTTATTGCAGATCTACTTTATAAAATTGATTTTTTAAATTAATTTTTGTCTTTGCACCCTTTAGTTTTTATCTCCTAGACAGCATGTAGATTTAAATAATTATTGCCCCAAGGTCTAAGGAGAAGGTATGATGTTAATCTCTGCTGATAAATGCATTATAAATATGTACTGGTACAATGGTATCCATTTAAAATACTTCATATCAAAGTTGGAGTACATAGAGATGGTCTTAAATGGACTTATATACTATTTATTTACAATTTTTTTACTTTGGAAAATCTCCAAAGAAAGTATATTATCAGGGACCACTGTATTGAAGGTGGTTTAATCCCACGTATATTTGTACATTTTCTAAGCACACTGCAAGTGGGTCTAACCTGTAAAACCTTTAATTTGTTTGCCTTCCGACTGAACAAGTTGCTTGTGTTGACAGAATAGGCCTCGGTTACCTGTAAACTGGAGTGGCGATATGCTCGTTAATGGGGTTGAAGTAAACTGAAAATCAGCTTAGCTTCAGAGATGATAAGATTTTAACCCAGAGAGGTATCAAATGATGTGACATATTTTTAGGGACAGACCATAAAATGATGTTTTTGCCACAGAAATTCTCTGACTTTATAATTTGCCTCATGGGTAGTCATCGGCTTGCTGTAAAAAATATTTTCAGTAACAGTAAGTATTAGATAAGTCAATATGACCAGAAACAAGAAAAAGAAAACAACACACCCCACTCTTTCTGTGAGGATACTAGGAACTCGAAAGCAGTTTGTGGCCAAATTGATTCCTTGCATGTTGACATACGTCAAGTGTAGTTCGGGAACCATGTTAATGGTAGTAGGCATGGGTGATCAGTGCCATTCATTATTCCATTGGGAAGGTGTTACAGACAGACATTAAACTTGCATGCAATCACAATAGAACACAAAACAATGAATTGGGAGCTCCTCATTAACACAAGGAAAAATATTTTCCCAATCAATATTTAATCAGTAGCTAGTGGTAAAATCCACTTGACGTTATTTTTGCCCTCTTCCCATTAAACTGAAAATACCTTGGGAAGTTGCTTGTTAATTAAGTATATGAACTTCTTAGAGGCATGCAATATGTGTTAGACCTTAATACAGCAGTAAATTAATTTTCTTGTAAATTTCAACACCCTTTTCTCAGTCACAAAATCATGATCTCTAAACACCTCCGAGTTTCAAGATTTTTATTTTTAAGTCACTCTTGAGATGAGAACTGGAGAGAACTGGGGAATTTTACTCATAATGGTAAAAATTGAAATTCGGAATTCAAACACTGGTTTACAGATGATCATAGTTTTTTTCAACAGTATTGAATGAGATACACTGGTAATTAAGGGAAAACCATTGACGTTTTTAGAAAAATTATTTTTTGCACAAATATTGAGAAAGGGCTAGTATACACCATATGTGTTTAACTCTCTTAAATTAAATACGAGTTGACACTGTATGTGTTTAACTCTCTTAAATACTTAAAAAGGCACAAGTTTAACCCGTGGTAAGAGATGTGACAAGAGGGGGAAACACTGTTGAATTTCAGTGAATTTAGACAGAGACTTAAAATCCCAGTTAGTAAATAGTAAGTAAGTGACAAAAAGGGGGAAAGACTAGAATTTCTTTGAAATTAAACAGAGAGAAATATGATTTGCCAGTTAGTAAATCAACAATGAATTAGTCACATCCACAAGATTGATAGTTCGTAGAAGTGTCACATCGGTGAAAAGCGTAATATTTGAAGTCAGTAATTGATCGATGTAATCAAAAGGTCACAGCTCAGCAGTAAGAGCCAACTGTGTTAATGACACCACCAACCCCCCCCTTTCTGAACAACTATTGAAGACTACTACTGGGTGTTATAATAATAATTAGATCTTTAGATATAAGAAGTCATTCTAAAAATCTAAATTCAGGGAGGGGTGCAGGAGCTGATCAAATTGCTGTGAGCTTAGAGTAGCAGACTGTCTCTGTAAACTAGCCTCACTGTCTGTCTCCTCTTCCAGGCTTGTAAAAGTAATTTGCTACAAGCTGGCTTGTTTAATCAATACAGAATGATTTAGGTACTAGCACATAACATGGTATGTTTCCTAGTACTTAGATTCCGCTCATAATTCAAGTACCCTTATAGTTTGACATGTTTAACTATTTTGTTACTAAAAAAAAAAAAAATGTACTCAGACTTGAATCTTACTGATTCAGAATTTTAGATACTTATTTTAGCCTTTGTAGGTACCCTATTTTTAACTCAAAAATTGTTGGAAGTTTGTGAGAAATTGCCATAAAGGTATTACAGACTTTGAGACTATACCGATAGTTCACTGAAGGTAGCAGATGGGCACCCTAAGGCGAAGTCAGGGTAAATCAAAACAACAATGGCATCATGTGTAAGGACTGATACTTAATGAATCTAGATAATTATGATACATTGGCTTGAAGTGAAAAAAAAAAAACCCTGTAGATGGAGTGAAGCTTGGGGCAGGGGAGATAAAAAGATTAAAAAACAGGGAAAGTGAGGCTGTAAAGATATTGGTTGGCTTTCACAGGTTTTGAGAGACAGAGAGGGGTGGGGGGTGTCAAGGTAAAATGTAGCCTAGGGTGTATGTATCATTTGTTTTCATTTAAAGGTACATACGAACCGAGCATCGGTGGATAGTGGATTCTCAGTAACACATGTACTGTAAACCACTTCTACTAGATTCTTATATGACTCAAATAAATTCGACATGCCAAGGGATAAACTGAACAGATCACTCGATCAGCCATAAAAGACCTTTAGACTGCTCCTTTCTTTAAATTTATGGTTGTAAATTTAACCTACCTCCGTGACCTACTTTCCTGCCCCATTGCCATACAGCTTAGAATGCCAGCAGAAAAATCTGTTCAAAAATCATTTTCGGGTAAAATTAAACAATGCCTTTTGGTAATTCTCTTAGTTATACTACTTGAAACTATATGCTGGCATTTGGTTGGTTTTTGTGACAAAAAATTGACTTTGTATGCATCTTTAAGGGTAAATCTAGGTAAAGAAACTTTTCCCTTGAGGTGTAAGAATGAGTTATCTGTCCTGTTTAAGCCAGATGTTTTTACCTTAGGGCAGCATGCACATGTATTTCGTAACTTGTAATTCTGCACATTTTTGGTATTCTTACATTCATTTGTATAAAAATAAATGTACATTTACTCCAGATAGGTTTTTAAAGGGGTTTACATTGTGATTGCTATATTTCAATTGGTTTGACTTGGAATATGGCTTTAGTGCTCTGTGATGCATATTAAATGCCTGGTGTTTACAGTGACTCAAGTGTTATGGGAGTTAGTGTTTTCTTTTGGGACATTAAGGCCCATTCTGTCCATGACAGCCATACTGTTCCCGGGGTCATACCGATACTCCCCCGCACCGTTACTCCCCCGCACCGATACTCCCCCGCACCGTTACTCCCCCGCACCGATACTCCCCCTTAGTAAATTTTTTGCATTATGCACATCGATACGACCCCACACCGATAGATCCCCGCATCGATAAACCCCCTGTAAAATTGCCGTTATACGCGCACCGTTACTCCCCCGCACCGATACTCCCCGGCGTTGTTGTTTCCCCGCACCGTTACTCCCCCGCACCGATACTCCCCCTCATCATTACTCCCCCTATGCAATTTTGCCAAAACTGAGGATCGAGTAACAGAGTCAACCCTCCATTTAATTATACAGGTTAGGGTCAGTCTAGGTAAGTGGATCAAAATCTACGACCCGTTTAAGTCCAAATTTTGCGGAGAATCTCATGTACCACGCAAGTCCTTTATGCGAAATTTCGAGTTCGCACGTATGTAAGCACGTACGGAGGATATTGAACATTTCCAATAGATTCTACGAATAATCTGCGAACAGCGAGGCCGCAAGCGTAATTTGCTCCCTTTCTAAGGAGTTTGCGATTGGTTTGCAAGTGAGACTTGTCTGGTCCAAGATGCACGCCGCAAGAAATGAAGGAGAAAGAGCCCTTTGCGTGTTGAGTACGGCGCACGCCCTCACATCTACAGCGAACAAAATCGAAAACACGACGGGACTGCGAGTATAAAAGGCGTGCTCACGACGCATGCTCGTGTCTCGACAATTTCGTTGTGCAACAATTTTCAAAATTTTTGAATTTTGCTTAATTCAGATTCTAATCTAATTCAGATTCAAAAGAAAAGGGAAAGAAGCTTAAAGAGCAGAAAAGAAGGTTGGAGGAAAAAGACAGAAAACGAAGCGCTTTAGCACTTCT